GCGGGCTTTGTGCAACCCTCCATACACTTTACCATGAACCCTATAGTGCCAAGTTTCAGAGTCAGAACAATCGTTAGATAAATCATGAAGAAACCAGTAAGGACCCCAAATCCTAGATCCAAACAGAGGTATTCAGGGGTTGGGCTATGTTGGGCTCAGGGTTATAGGGTCGGGTTTGGGGTTCAGGGTTCAGCTCGAGGCTTTAAGTAGGGGAACTTTCGTCCAGTTTGCAAGGCCTCATAATATACAACCGTAACCCTTTAACCAACCCTTTTGGGGGGGGTTCGCATTTAGGGCTTTTAATAATTGAAAACCCTCCGCCCTAAATCCTACAAACGCTAATCCTAAACCTTACACTTTCCCAAAAGCCTGGTAAAAGGTGGATCGTAGGATCCCCGCGAACCAAGCAAGCCAAGATTGGAAGGGCGCACATATTCCTGAGTTTACTGCCATCTGGGTCTTGCTTATTCGTGGAGGGTTTGCCGCACCATTTCAAGGTTTTCAGGGTTTGGGTTTGAGAGATTAGAGTTTAATGTTTTGAGATGTTACAAGGCTTAGAGTTTAGAGTTTTAGGGTTCTAGAATTTCAGAGCTTGAGTTTTAGCGTTTAGGGTTTAAGGCAGGGGACGAGAAGGTTGGATGAAGGGGAAGGGCCCCTTTATCCAAGAAGCCCTATTTCCCTCAGGCTCCATGTGCCTACATGGTCTGTTATACTGAGGTCTTACAGATATCCTGGGTACTCTATTGCCTAAGTAGAGACTATATAGGCACATGGAGCCGGTTTGGGATTTCAGATCTACGAATAGCATCATCCCATCTTCGGAACCCTAATTTTCTCAAAAATACAAAAGCCCTAACCCCTGAAAAACCCTAAATCCGATATCCCTAAACCCAAAAACGCACAACCTTCGGGATGGAAGAAGCCAGGAAGTTGGAAGAGTGCCATCCCGGGTTCAGGATTATTTCAGGGTTTAGGGTTTTCCTACACCCTAAGCCCCTCATGCAGAAGCCCCACCTGTTGGGTTTAGGATTGTTCACCCCTGAACCCTAAACCCTAAACCCCTAAAGGTTTAGGAACCTTAAGCCACCAACCCGACCCTAAACCCAGAACCCAGGAGAGCTCCCCAAGAACGACAAATCGTTTAAACGGCCTACCTTGAGGTTTCAGGTTGGGGTTCGGGTTTAGGAATTTGGTTTAGGGTTTAGGCTTAAGGTTTCAGGTTTGGGTTCAGGTTTAGGAATTGGGTTTAGGGTTTAGGTTGGGGTCAGTTCAAGGATGAGTTTGGTTTAGGGTTTAGGTTGGGGTCAGTTCAAGGATGAGGGAGGTTTGTCTATACAACGCGAGCACCATGGGATCCCTCTGGCAAAAACAAACTCAAACACGGGGACCTGGGCCCCACTTCTCAAGAATTCCCAACTCCCCGATGCAGCCCTAAACCCTACACCCTAAACCCTAAACCCTGCGCCCTAAACCCTACACCCTAAACCTTATAGAACCCTAAAAATGGGGGTCTCTGCAAGGCTTCGAGTCGCTTGATGGGCTGCTTAGGACTGACCATAAACCTCAGTTTGCTGTTTTGTCCAGGGCTTTGAGGGTTGATAGGAAGTTCATACGGATTTTTTGGGCTTTATGAACTTCTGCACAGCTTAGTCAAGCCCAGCTGGTGGAGCGCAATTGTGCCAAAAATGTTAGCGGAACAAACCCGGCCGGATCAGGTGCGTTGGCATCAAGCAGAACGTCAAGGCCATGGGGTCTCGAAGCCCGAAACCCAAAACCGACGGGGTCAATCACTCCGGGCTGAGCCTCCAGCTATGGGCAGCCATCGATCAAAACTCACCAGGGCAGGTAAGCAGTGCCGGTGATGGGCAACTATAAGTTGTATCACCGGATCGCAGAGGGGTGCATCAAGTAATACTTCTCATACAGCCAGACCATGATTTGCAATGCATAGACCTCGTAGCCTGTACGTGGGTAGGCGAGAGCTCGATCTACCCACCAGTCGTCGCTGCGCATAAGAGGAAGTGGGAGCACTGCCCGCGCTGTGAATGGCAGGGCGTACGAGCGACCGTTAATAGGCAGCTGAAACTGGTCCACGAATTTGCGAACCGCGTGCACCTGGTGCACATCGCTAGCACAAAGGCCGCGCGACTTCTGCGACATGCAAACTGCATGACCGCGCACTCCGCCCCGCGGCAAAATGGATTGGCAACCAGCAAGGCGTTGTCTCGACTAACATGGTTGAATCTAAATACTATAACCCTGAACCCTAAAACTTTAGATGCCTATAGCCTATAGCGGGCACTTGAGTTTAGTCCCTTGGCAAGAATCCCTATCAACTCGAGAGACTCCAAGACGGGAAGATGGGGTTGCTCCTATGGGCTGTTCATAGAGTTTCAAGTGGGGGTCGAAGGGTCCCTGATGCCGGTACATATCTCAAATCATGCTGTGAAGCCTGTTGGTCCTTAGGTTCATGCTGCAATGATTGCGCGCAGATAGGGCCTGAGTCAACGTTCAAGACCATAAGCATACCCGAACCCGAACCGTGACACCCTAAACCCCACAAACCCCCAAACACCTAACCCAAGTGCATGCGAAAGGCAGACGGGAAGGCCCCAAAAGGAGAGTCTTTGCTCCTGGAAAGCTTTCCACTGTAGTAGGGTTGAGGGTTTACCGGGTTTAGCATGTTTTCGGTGGTTTGGGGGGTGGTCCCAGGTTCGTGTTGAGGAGTATAGTATAGTATAGTATAGTATAGTATAGTATAGTATAGTATAGTATAGTATAGTGTAGTGTAGTATGGTATGGCGGTTTTTATTTGGGTGCAGGTTGTGCAGGGTTTCGGGTTGGGGATGTGGTCACCGTCTTGGTTGGAGATTCGAGTTCTCAGAGGATTCCTTTCAGGAAGTTAAGGCATCGCGCAATGCTTACAGCACCAGGTCTATGTAAGGGTCTGATATCTTCGCTACATTTAGCTGGCTCTTGCTTGCAGGGTTTAGCTAAAACGGCTGCATCGGGGATACCATCAAAATCCGTTAAGCAGTACACATGCGAAGATTCTTTGCCAGTTCCGTGCTGAGCTTTGATTTTTCTTGTCAGAGACCCCATAAAAGCAATACTTGGGTGGAGCCTAGTTTTGGGCAAAAACTTTACGGTAATATGTTTTATAATAACTGAATAGAATAGAAGTTGAGATGATTTCACAGGATAAAGCATGTGTATGATGGTTCGGTCAAGGCTGTCCATTACATAGGCGGCATCACCACAAAAGTCAGAATTAGGACATAGTTTCGCGCAGCATTCATTTTTGTTCTGGAAACCTACTTTCAGAAAGACATGCCATGGCTCATCTTTCCTATTGCTCAGCTGAGCTCACAGCCCAACTAAATCACGAAAGAGCACAAGGCTACCATTGGACAACCTCCAAAACCCTTAGCCCTGAACCCTACATCCCAAACCCTAGACCCTAAGACCCCTAAACCCGAAACTCCAAAACCCTAAACCCCTAAACCCCTACGACCCCTACGACCCCAAAGAACCTAAACCCTAAACCCGAAGGCCCTAAACCCTAAACTCCAAAACCCTAAACCCCTAAAAACCCTTACGACCCCAAAAAGAACCTAAAACCTAAACCCTAAAAACCCTATAAGCCCTAAGCTCCTCCACGATCCCTGCACCATGGCGGGGACGGCTCCGCGCACGAAAAGAGTTGCTGTCTCTGAGCTCTACGACTACAGAGCCCTTTAATACTTAGAAGTAGGGTTCCTTTAAAGCCAACATAGGGCCCTTAATACTTAGAAATAGGGTTCCTTTAAAGCGAAAAAAGGGCCCTTAATATCCTTTAAAGCGACTACAGGGCCCTTAATACTTAGAAATAGGGTTCCTTTAAACGGCTACTCTAAGGGGGCTATGATAATAATTTGAACAGGGTTCCTTTAAAGGGCTACTATAAAGGGGTTTTGATAAGGGACGGTGAGGGGATACCGTTCATGATTCTGCAGACCTCTATAGGCGTTAGGCTCGATTGTTTCGTTCGGACCACATTTAATCGTTATTATATGAAGGGAGGCATATGTGAACTTCGTTTCGGCCAAGGCAGGTGTGAAAGCACACGCGCAGGAAAGCGACAGCAGAGAACATAGCTTAACGGGTCCTTGGTAAAAAGCTTAAAGTTTAGGGCTTAGAGGTTTAGGCCAGGGTTTTGTGATTCCAGTGCGCATTCTGGTAGTACCTAACACAAACCTGAAGATACACTTATCAACATTCCCAAACCTGAAGATACACTTACCAACATTCCCAATTTGCCATGTCAACCTTTGCTAAGCGGTTTAGGCTTTAGGGTTCAGGGCTCAGGTTTTAGGGTTCCTACTTTCAGAAAACCATCAGGACCAGACCGGGTTCCACATTCCGGTCCTGGGTACAAACGAATTCAGCCCAGAGCCTAAACCCTAAACCCTAAAACCCTAAACCCTCTTCAGGGTGTGTCTTTTCGGGCTTAGGGCTCGTTAGACTCCATGCCCAGTGACTCAACCCCCAAGTCTTACCCAAAACCCCTCTCTCCCTGACCTCAGCCTTATCCACGTTCGTTCCTCCTTCATCTAGGGCTTAGGGTTTAAGTTTTCGGGTCTAGGGTATTAAGCATTTTGGCTCAGGACCTCCGCAAACCGTCCGAAACTCTGTAATCTTGAAGTCGAACCTTTATCAAGGAGCCTCTGATTCTCAAGCAGGTCCTTACTAATTACTTAGGAGTGGCCTTTCAAACAGCTGGTCCCAACTATGAACCCCAAGTTTTGTGGCACCTCGCCCCCTACAAAAAGCACAACTCAATGATTGCATGCTGAAGGCGTTTGATGCTCAAGGTCCTGAAACCCAAAAGAGGATGCAGGTGTCGCACATCGCTGCCTTTTATCGAATCCATATCGCACGCCTCGCGACCAATCATCGCAGCAGCGGTGGGAATGATTGCACAAGTGGTTCTGGGCGTCTCGGCCCGAACGCGAGTATCATCACAGCAGCGGTGGGAATGATTGCGCAACTGGGCGTCTGGGAAAGAGCCGCCAGTGACAAACAAAGCCAGCCAAAAATGCCGGGACCGCCACTGCCATCACGGCCGTTGTGATAGCTGCCGTGCCTTAACATTTCGAGTTTAGGGGTGAAGATTGTAATGCCAGATCCTGCTCCCTGCAGCTCCTCTTGATAAACTTCCGGGGCCCCACAACATCAAAGAGTCGCATTTGTTCAACTGGACACGGAGGACCCACATGTACAGCATCGGTGACACATGACGCTGCTTGGGGATGTGCGGTTCCCAGTGACATTTTGTGCTCAAGTTCAGAGCCCTTCACTGTATCACTTTCCGAAGATGCTTTGACACATTGAGCCATTGAAATACATATATATATACACACACACAGAGTGCGAAAGAGAGAGAGAGAGAGAGAGACAGACGGACAGCGAGAGAGAGAGAGAGAGAGAGAGTGAGCGAGAGAGAAGAAGAGTAAGATCGCCTAAACGGTCTGTGGTAGGCTTTTCACCCAGAGCCGTGTCCCAAGGGCCCCAGACTCTACTGGCATGCTTAAGGGTTTAGGGATTATGGGGCTTCTAGGGTTTAGGGTCGTTAGGGCTTGTGTCAGGATTAGGGTCAGGACCTGTGCTGCAACGGTAAAAGATGGAGTCCTCCATGGTCCATATCCAATCAAGTCACCGGTAGCGCTGTCAACGCTAGCTCGAAGGGGTCCTGAAGGCACCCATGGTCAGAACCCACGGCGCGGAGCCTAAAACGCTATTACCCTACACACCTCTGCACTCTACAAGCCCAATTAAGTTCACCTAACCCAAACCCTTATAGCCTCGAGGACGAAACCTTCTGAACCCAAACCGAACCCTGGTAGGATCCGGGCGCGAGGAATGTCTCGAGTCAACCATGGCAAACCCCGGTAGAACCCGTGGAGAGCCCCCCTAGACCCGGCCTTGTGAACCCTATCAAAAACCCAGATAGGAACCCTTATAGAAACCCTTTAAAGTAACCCTTAGGTAACCAAAGTCCTGCAGTCTCCACGGCGGAAGCATCGACGGCTTCCTCCGGATGGAAGCCGGCCAAAGAGCCTCTAAGGCGGGAGGGATTTGGAAGATGTGGGCTCTAGGCTTTGTAGTATAGTTTATAGAATTACAAGTTATAGGATGGAGGGATGTGCAGGATTCGGGTGAATTAAATCTGCTGGGGCCTGAAAAAGCAGGGATTTGGTAGCTGTTTACTCTTAGTATCATGTTTGGGAGAAAGGGTGTAGGCGTTGGGGTGGAGGCTTAGGGGTGTTTCGGAAAGTATTTTGCTATTTTCTGACGATGCCTATAAGTTCCAAAGAGAGTAGGGTCTAGGGATGACGGTGTGAGGCCCAGAGCTCTGTGGTTTGGAACTTCGGGCTTTGGGTCCAGGCTAAACACCGAAACCTTACTTTGTTTTGTTGATTATGGTTTAGGGGTTTAGTGGTTTACGGGTTTAGGGTTTAGGGTTAACTGGAGTCATCCCAAATCGTCCCGGTCTAAATGGTCCGCTCACAAGGGGCATGTAGCTTACAGCACAGGGCTGCACACAATTTTTCTGATTCCATTTACTGATCTATCTATCTGTCTGTCTATCTATCTGCAGTCTGTCTATCCATCTATCCATATCCATCTATCTAAATATCTCTCCCTCTCTCTGTCTCTCTCTCCTGGTTAAGAACCGGTCTTGAATTATAGTATCCTAACTCCTAACCATAAAAAACTGGTTGACCAACAAAGGAACGACTATGAAGACTATACTATAGGTGGTACGTTGCTCTGAATAACCTGGTTTCTGGTTATGACATTCACGGATCTAGGTGGGCTCGTATTAGGGGTCCAGAAGACCACATTACATTCAAGGATCTCGCAATGGAGGCTTCGTGGAATCCCCTCTGACTTTAGGGGGTGCCTTTTCTCCAATCGTTGGATCAAATTGCTCATGTACCGCTTGCTTCTCTTAGGCCAGCACTCCTGGAGCGTGATTGCTTGAGCGTTTATCTGAGTAGTTCTCTGAATTAGGGTACCTTATTTTGGGGTCCTTATAGTAAGGATCCACCTATTTAGGGTACCATATTAGGGTCCCCTATTTTCGGAAACCCCCATCTAGCTCTTACGCGAGCGGCCTGCTTCCTCGCGGGCTAAGAATTCGCCAACCACGTCATTCATCAGCCGCGGGTCGTCAATCCTGGGAAGGACTGGCGAGGTGGCTCAACTACCTCTCCTTTCAAAAGCTTCCCTCGTTGATTCGGGGTTTACTCGGCTCAGGAGACCCAAACAGAGGCCTAAGACCTCTGAGCCGCCCCACGGCTCCTCACCGCTACTCTCAGAAGTTCATAGCAGGAGACACGTGAATCCAGACACCCCGTCCTGTAAGCATAAATCTGCCTGCGTTTAGGGTTTAGGGTTTAGGGTCTAGGGTTTAGGGCTACATAGCAGACAATGCTGTCAACCGGACGAACTCCTACACCACAAGCCTGACATGACATCGCGAACAAAGGGTCCACAATCATTTGAGTCGCGTTGCTGGCGTGCATCAACGTATGAAATATATTCAGGCGCCCTAATAAGCAACATTGTCGGAAAAATTCTTACGCTACTTCCGTTTTCAGGTATCTAGCCCTATGGTTATGATCTGTGAAAAAGGAAAGTAAGTACCCGAAGAAAAAGGACAGGGTATAACGCTGTCCCAGAGTCATGGAGCAGTGCCCAGATCGGGGCATCATCGCCTTCCAGACGCGCGGCAGGTTCCTTGGAGCTTGGGTTCAGGATTTAGGGTTTCGGGTTTACGGGCTTTCGGGTCTAGGGTGTAGGGTCTAGGGATGTTCCGGTTTTCCATTACAGTCGCTCGTCTCAATAGGAGCTTACTACCATTGGATTGGACGTCCCGAGGCCCCCTCCTTAGCCCCGATCCACGCAGACACACACAAGTCTAGACCTAGAACTTACCGGGGACCCCACCCAAGAGTCTGCTATAACTGAATGTAGGGGCCTTAATAATTAGAACAGGGTTTTGGGGCCCATTTAAACTATAACTACAATAAGGACCCCCCCGCCAAAAAACAATAGTATTGGCACTCATCTAGGCCCCAATAATTACAACATCGCAGCGTGTTCAAGCGTAACCGTGTTGGAGGCTACAGGGTTGGGGGACAAAAGCACCGTTTAGGGCTTTAGGGTTTTTGGGATTTTTAGGGCTTGGGATTAGGGTTTAGGCTTGGGGGTTTTGGCGTTTTGGGGGTTTAGGGGTCTTAGGGTCTTGGGGTTTTAGGGTTTGGGATTAGGGTTTAGGCTTTGGGGGTTTAGGGTTTCAGGGTTTGGGGCTTGGGGGTTTAGGGTTTAGAGCATCCCTCGCAGCCTCACATTCCTTGGGCCTGTTGTAGGAGTGCATAGGAGTCCAGTCCAATTGAGGGCCCTGCATAACCATACCGTAAGTAGTATTCAGCTGTCACTTAGCGTGGGCAGTATCCAAGACATTTCCAAGCTGCCTAGATGGTTCGTAGGTTTTCGGGCGAGTTTAGGGTTTGGGTTGAACTTAGCAGTGTCTGCAGCCCACATCAACCTACCAAACCCTACTTCTTTTGTAGGGTTCTTTTTCATCCATATTAAGATTTATAATAAGAGCCCAGAACCTACAGAGAAGTAGGTCACGGTAGTTTAAGGTAAACCCTGAACGCAGAAGTGGGTCCGGTACATCGCATCGATGACCGGGGGCCGCATGGTGTCGTAGCGCCCGAAAGTTAATAGCACCTCAGGGCTCGGAGAGTTTCTAGATGGAGCCTGCAAGGGCTACCAATACAGGAATCTGATTAAGAAACTCCACGTAGTTATTGGGGTTCTTTCTATGAATCCACATATCTTGGGGTTCTAGGGCCAGGGTTTCTTACTCAGGTTCCTAAACTGCAAGACATGCTATAGGGCTACTTACTGACTAAGGGCTCCAGAAACGGTTATTCAGTTCCGTTCTCTTCCTGAACGTGCGCTGGATGGTACTGGATTCGGGGAAAAGTGCGACGAAGTCTGAGCTTTCTGTTCTGAGCCCGAAACCCTAAGCCCTGAATCCTCAACTCGCCTCATCATGCTTGCAGAAATTGCAGAGGCCTTATGAATTACAACATGGTCTTGGGGGAGGCTTGTAAGTATAGTGTTACGAGTGGTTATATCTATCTGTATATATGTATAATATGTATACCTGTTATATTAAAAGGGACATTGATACCAAGTGTTCGGAGCCCTATAGTAGCTGCACCGGGTTCGCAATCTCCGGCAGGCGTGGGGTGTAGTTGAAATGGCCCAGAACGCCAGAGAAGACAAACTCGCTGGCACCCTGCATTCCCACGTAGATCTCCTGGATGCTGCTATTCGTGGATGGCTTGCTTTTAGCGTGGGGTGCTTGGGGCATCCCGATGAAGAATGTTTATAGGGTTGGACTCAAGACGAAGACTCTGACCATAGTGTTCCACGTAATTGCCCACGTAGTATAGACTCGCTCCCGAATTCTATTTTACTGCCTAGTAAGGCCCAAGTAAATTTTATGTATTACCCTAAACCTTAAACCCTAAACCCTAAACAGCTTCGTTGTGCAGTTGGCGTCTCCATGCTGGTGTTGGACGTGGGCTTCGCAGCATTGAAACAGTCAGGGATCGGAATAGTCCGAGTGGTGAAGAAGGACCTGTCTTCTCGGCGTGTGGCACGGTTAAGGGGTTTAGTTTAGGGTTTAGGGGGTTTGGGGTTTAGGGTTTAGGGTTTAGGGGAGTTGTTTGGGGGGCCTTATGTAGAGGAAGGATCCTATAGTGCCACGACTTTGAATCTGAAACCGTTCGTTTTTGATGACAGCCTTGTGGATAACAGTGAACCCTAAACCCAACATCAAAAACTGAGCGCTGAAGAAATAGAAAGCCGACCAATTCCAAGAGCCGGGGCGTAAGGATCTGATCCTCCGCGGCATAGAGACGGGAATCAAAGGCCTTTGTCGTCTGCAGCTTCCACAAGGCCTCCTGGAACTCTTAAGCAGAGATCTCTGGAGCAAGAGCAAGCATGGGAACTTCTAGATTCCCAACCCCCCGAACCTATCGTGCATTTTGGGCCTTTCGGGGTCGACTGGTAGCACATTCCGGGTCCTCAGACCCCACGCTGCCAAAATCTATTGCCGCTCCGCTGTACCCTAAAGGCACGCCCTAAACCCTTAACCCCAAACCCTAAGCCCTTAACCCCAAACCCTAAGCCCTTAACCCCAAACCCTTAACCCAAAACCCTAAGCCCAAAACCCTAAAATATTAACCCCAAACCCTAAACCCTAAACCCTAAACCCTTGACCCCAAACCCTAAGCCCTAAACCCTAAACCCCAAACCCTAAACCCTAAACCCTAAACCCTGAACCCCAAACCCTAAACCCTGGACACTAAATCCGGAACTAAACCCTAAACCCTTAACCCCAAACCCTAAACCCTAAACCCTGAGCCCCAAACCCACTGTGCCCTAAAGGCACCAGTTCCTCTTCAAGGGCCTGCTTGACGTGCGGGCAGATTTGAGAGAGTGGTTTTAGGGTTTAGGGCTTTCGGGTTTAGGTTTAAGGTAGGTGAAAGCCTCAAGGCACTATTATTGTTGTTGCCATTAAGGTTTAGGGTTTAGGGATGATTATTGATATGATTAACAATGCGACTACTCTACCATGTATAACTAAACCAAGCAAAGGACAAGCCACACTCAACCCTCATTGTAAGCACTTAGGATTCCGGGTTGGAGTTCGGGGTTAGTTAAGCCCTAAATTAATCTCTCCCCCCAAGCGTCGCCCATAAACCCACTCCCGAATCTCTCCCCCAAGGATAGCCGCGCCTGAACGAAGAAGGGTAAGGAGCCCAGGTTACCTTGAGTTGCGTCCCACTGGGACTTCCAGTAGAGGTCCTGGATCCAAAAATCTTAAACCCTAAACCCTAAAAAGACTTGGCTCTTCGGGGTGTAGTTTCGGGCTTGTCTTTCAAGGTTTAAAGTTTACTTATAGGATAGGTTTTAGGGAATTAGTGGTCAGGGACCAGGGTGTAGGGTTTCAAAGGGTGTGGTGGCACTATGGGGTTCTCGTGTTGCGGCGCGAAAAAGGATTAACCCCAAATCCTAAACCCCTAAACCCTAAACCCCTAAACCTAAACCCGATGGCCCCGACGGCGGTCGAAACTGGCAGAGGACGAGGCTTTGTGGATCCCGAGTGTTGCCTGTTTAACCACACGCGACGTTTATTGAACCCAATAGGCCTATTGACTTCAATAGGACTGTCGGGTTGAAGATTGCAGATTGAAGATCTCACAGAAAATTTCACAGAAAACATTCCCAAGGCATCTTCAATCTTCAATCCTGTAGCCCTGTTGAATCCAATACGCCTATTGAACTCAATAGGAATCACGGGTAGAAAATGCGCAATCGGGTCGCATGCGAGAGAAGCCGACAAACCCTAGAGCACACACGGTGCATATAACCCACGGCCACGAGTTTCACCGTTCGTGCATAAATCCTCGGTGGGAAATATGTGTTTGAGTGCGGTAATATCTTTCTGGTTCCGGCAAAAACAAGGTTTCTGTGCCTAACACACATATACATAGTTATGTCGCAACCATGTAGTAGCAGCCGCAGCAACGACAACATCAAGACTGCAATGGTATTGCGTAGTTGGCTGCATATACGCAAGCATGACCTTATGCATATTCGTCAGATACAAATGGAGAGGAGTTATCAAATATACAGCGTCGCCACTTACGCAGACCACGGCTGACCTGAAGGCACATTCCAGGTAGCATTGTATATACCCGCGGACCTGTAAAGCCTGATGAGGAAAATGTCCAGAACCAAATGCTTTTACAAATCTACCTATTTCTGTAATGTTAATATTGATGTGTTTGCCGAAGTTGCTTAAAATGCGTATCTGTATCGAGGTTTTTAGTGTGCATGTCGCGCGTGGGACCTGGTGATGTACGCAATCATGATGTAACAGGAAGAAGCTCGCGTTGGCATATATATATATATATGTATATATATATATATACATGCCAGCAGTCCAATGGTCCTGCCTTGTTTCTTGAAAGCCTGCTGACAGAATTTTCATACAGGGTTCGCATATTTTTAGGCATCCGAAGCATGCAAATCCCCGCTTCCGCACACACATGAGGCACAGGAACTAGACTAGACTTTAACTCCTACTGGTACCACGTCCACTCCTCAATACGGCTTCCTCGCGACAGCTTTAGACAAAATCTACCTTGCAGTTTACAGAGCCTACTCACCTACTTTGTAGCCTGAGAAGCCGACTTTTTGGCACTCCGCACCTACCATGCGCAACTATTGCAGCCGGGGGGGAAGACACATACTTGCGACATCCTCTAAAGAATTGTTATATTGTTTAGGGTAAAACATTTGTAGGTATTTAGGGCTCCACAACACGTTTCTCATTTGTTTCCAAATCCACCTCATGCAGAAACACTCGACGTCATAGCATCAGATTGTTTCATCGCCAGCTTCTTGACTGGTTTCTTCGCGTTGGCAGCAGGCTTATGCATTGTACCTGGCCGTACCACGCTCTTACCCTTGCCATATACAATGGATGGGCGTGTTGCAATACAAACGGCAGGTGTACGTGGAAACCAAAATTTCTCTGCTAATCTTTCAGACTGCATCAGGTCGAAATGTCTGTATCGGGCACCAGCGCACCTGGCGGCAAAGGCTTGACGCAAGCCATCCTTTCGGAAGGCGATTGCATGGGATCCCTCTGACCATGTATTTCGGTATCCGGGCCAACCAACGCTGCTCGGTTTTGGCAGTGACGACATCAGGCTCTGAACTTGAGCAGCTGCTGAAATCTTGCATCTTTCTCAGAACTTCTTGCCAAGAACCATACCCATCCGACATCAGAATGCCGTTGGTCAGCTCGAGAACGTTTAGTAGCTGAGAGCATCTCAAGGTCGAAATACTTTTCCAAACTGGTTTATTTGATCCAAGCACAAGTAAAGTAATACAAAGCACGGCTCAGCGTATTTGGAACTGCTCGCGCCATGCTGCCAGCCTCGTAAACCATCGGTGCCGTACAGAGTAATGCACGATCTCGCTGGGCTTCAGCTTCTTGCCCATGTGCTCATCAACACCATATCGACAGCCATAAAAACATGGACTTTGTTAGCGCCTTCCTGTCAGTTCTTGGGGAAGCGGGTTATGTACGCCATGGCTGTCAGCATGCGACAATATAAAGGGTAGCGCATTACTAAGCTGGGCCGGTGTCTCAGGCAGTACCAGATTGGTCTCATCGACATGCTTTGCTTTGCAGCGCTCATGGCTTGCCGTCCAACACGCAACGCTGGCGCGATAGACCAAGTTGTCGATGGTTGTTTGCAGAGGCCTTGAGAAATGGAGGAAAACTTGGAGGCGCTTCTGAAGCATCGCAAAGTTGGAGGGGTCACGAAAATGGGCGCAGTCTCCACATAGTCTGTGTGTCCCCTGGCTGTATTTTGCGGGACAGCAATCTGTAGTGCCGCTCCTTCTAACGAAAGCAGCTGCTCGCCGTTCCATCTCCAATCGTCTCACAAGACGACCACGGAACAAACAAAGCCGGACTCTGGGATGACGTGCACCCTATGACCTACAGAAGCACATGTGCCCAACACACAATTTTCAAAATACCGCCGAAAAGGCCGCTGTCCTTGGAGGCAAGATCAATGGAAAGGTTTTTGACGTTGGCGCAGTGGCAGTGGAGACAGACAGCGGGAACACATGAAACAGCGGACGAAGCAAGCTTCTCTTGTCTTCGAAACACACGGTGTTGCCCTTTCGACGACCATCACGCAGACCGTCGTAGACGCGGCTCCAGATTGAGAGTCGCGAGCCTTCCGCACGCAGCGTGAAACCAAGTGCCTCAGCAACGGCACGGTGTCCTGGCCGCTTCGACAGTCAATTGAAGGCGGCTCTTGTTCAGATGCTGCAGCTCGGCCTCTGCGTTTGCTAAAGTCCAAAGACTACGGCCGATGTCCTCCATGCTGCGCATGTTCCTTGTGAGGAACTCCAAAACCTGCACGTCTCCGCTTTGCTTGACGACCTTGCAGAGTCGGGGTAGGAAGTCTGTATCCAGTGGACGCAGACGGCTCTTCACCAAGATGGGCCAGAAGCGCATCTCTTTGATGCGAGCCGGCGCCTTGCCTTGAGCAGCGCGCGTTTGCACATGTCGTACCCTGTCTTCACAGACGCTCCTCGCACTGCTGGGCCGATTCATGGTCCCATACAAGGGCGGGTGAGGCCCGTGCAAGGAGAACAAGAGAGGATTTTGGTCCGACTCGAGGCCCTTGTTCTCAAGAAATAATGACGAATCATGCTGTGGTAACCGTCGTTCTTGTCAGCAACCTGTTGAAATGATCACGCCAGGTTGCGACGTTGCCGCAAGTCTTCTCGCCATGGATTCGACACATGTGAAAGTGGAAGCGACCATCACCGTGAACTTCGCGAAAAACGGCACACTTGAGCAGCTGCACAGCGGGCTGCGCGCTCGTCAAGCTGCTTTGCGCAAACTCTCCTCGGAAAGACCGCAGCTGGGATGAGGGGTCTCGCGGACCAGTGAACCTAACAACCCGAAGTTTGGGATTGATCCCAGCCCGAATTCTGGGGGTTGAAGTCTGCAACCCGATGGACTCATAGAAGATTGAAAAATCCCTACACCAAAACCAAAGCAAGGATGCTTTGAACAACTTGTAGACGGCAACCGGGACACAGGGAACCAGAGAATGGAACAAGAATGCTAACTCCACCAACCAATGTACGGATTTCTGGACGGCTGTAAACTCCCGGGTCTTGCGGTGCATCCTCCACAGCTGCACTGGGCGCTGCAAATGTAAGCAACAGCGTCCGCGCGCAAAGACCTCTGTCCTTCGTCTCGGCCAGCGTCAGGTCCCTAAACCCTAAAACCCTAAACCGTTGGTGATCCGCTCCGCCAGCTGCCTGAGCGGCCTTTTTTTGGGACGAGAGGACCCAGCAGCTTCTCGATGTCCACACGTTTTGCATCGACTGCAGCAACATCTGTTTCTAAACGTTTCGGACATTCCACACCTTCCAGACTTTTCAGATATTCCAGACATTCCCAACTTTTCAGAGTTTCTAGCCCTTTCATACGTTTCGGACATTCCGAACATGTGGTAAGTTCGGGAGATCCGGCAAATATGGAATGTTTGGCAAAGGTTGGATAGTATGGAATGTCTGGAACGTCTGGATCGATTGGAACGCCTGGATTGTCTGGAAAGTTTGAAAAGTTTGGAAAGTTCAGAATGCCTGGAAAGTTTGGAAAATCTGAAAAATCTGGAAGGACTGGAATTCTGGACAGTTTGGAATGTCTGACAGGCCTGGAATGTCTGGAAAGTATGGAAAGTTTGGAGGAAAGTCTGGAAAATCTGCAAGGGTTGAAGTCTGGGAAGTTTGGAGTGTTTGACATTTGACAGGCGTGGAATGGCTAGAAAGGTTGAAATGTTTAGAAAATCTACTCATGTCTGGAATATTTGGAACATCTGAAACGTCTGGAGTCTGCAACACTTAGTTGGCTTTCTTGACATATCTGGAACCCGAAACGTCTGTGATGTCTGGAGTGTATGGAACGTCTGGAAGAGTTGGTATGTGAGAAACGTTCAAAACGACTTACACAGTCATAGGTCATAGGTGTCCAAAACAACGCATGCTGCTGAAGGAAGGCCATGTGGATCACAGCAGGCCCTGTTGCCATATATATATATATATATATATACATGGAGCCTTAGGCACTGGGCGGACCGATTAGGATGGCCAGGGCATGTAAAGTAAAGCCTTTATCAAGTCAGGAAAGGGTTCAGGGTTTGGGGTTTGTTGTTTAAGGCTTCATACTCAGACAGGGTGATTGCACAGGGTGTTTTCTCTGCTCTGGTTTGCGACAGGCTATGCGGTTTCACGACAGATGTTGCAGGGCTAAGGAACACACATCAAGGTTCGTTCCTAGGGGTATAGACAACCCTAAATTCTAACCCCGATACAGGGCACTTAATCAAGAGAATAGGGTTTTGTGGTATTTTATACTATAGCTACAAGAAGGAACCTGCAAAACCCCATTCTAACTAAAAAGCCCCCTACAGTAAACCCTTCTAGAAACTTTACAACAACTCTTATAGTAACCCTTTAAAGGAACCCTATTTTAATTCTCAAGGCCCCTACATTAAAGCAATGTTCCTGGCCGAGGGTTTTGTCATTAACTCAGCCAGGAGCCTCCAGGTCCTCGAAGCGACTTCGACATGTGTAGTTTTCTAAAATAAGGTCCCTTTTAGGGTCCTTTTTATAAGGGTGCCGTACTATATTGGGGACCCAAAAAGGGACCCTAATTTAGAGAACTACCCATATGCGTATAGTGAACCCCAGAAAGATGGAACATGGGATTAGGAGGATGATTAGTGCTGGAATCCCTTCTACCTTACCTGAGGGCATTGGGACACTGATGCTTCAACTTTCTGGCGTCTACTTTACAACGTTTCGGAGGCAAAAGAGTTTAGGGTTTAGGGGTTTAGGGTTTGGGGGGCTTGGGGGTTTAGGGATTAAGGGCTTAGGGGTTTAGGGGTTTAGGGTTTAGGGGTTTAGGGGTTTACGGGCTTAGGGTTTAGGGTCTAGGGGTTTAGAGCCTAGCCACTAAAACCTTCACAATGCCGAACCTTGAAGCCTGCACCCAAAACTGAAATAGCTACTGGGTAGTCAAAGCGTACATAGGCTTTCGGGGTTAGGGTTTCGGCCTGAGCCCGAACATGCGCAACTCCATGCGAGGCATCACAATGCAACTTGTTGCACACACACTGCCCTAAACCCTAAACCCTAATATCACAACTTCCCAGAAGCCACAAGGCGAAACCTTCCCTAAACCCTGAACCCAAAGCCCTGAACACCCTCCACCTCTAAACCCCTCATAAACCCTCATAAACTAACTAATCCCACACCGTTCTTAAGCCCCAAAGCCCCTAAACCCACATCTCAACTCTCACAATCCCCTCCAGCGGTCCCCATCGCTGAGGGGCCCGGAGAGGATCACCGCGCGCAGACGCGGATCCTTCGTAAAGGTATAGGCCTGGCGATCGTCGTTCTGGGGTTTAGGGTTTTAGGTTGTAGGGTTTAGGGTTTTAGGCTTTAGAGTTTAGGGTTCAGGGGTTCAGGGTTTAGGGGTTTAGGGTTTAAAGTTTAGGAGTTTAGGTTTAGGGGTTTAGGGTTTAGGGGTTTAGGGTTTAGGGTTTCCGTCTTTCTAAGGGTCCACGGTTTAGGGTTCGGGGTTTAGGGTATGCGAGTCCATGTATCCAAATAGGATATACTTTGGCCTTACAGTAGTCCCTATGTAGGTACTCTGCGGCCCAAGTATATACTTCGCGGGTACATGGATCATTAGGGTTTAGGGCCATCTTCGTTCTTCCGTCTGTTGTTCATACAGAATGTGTTTTATTCAAAGGCTTAGAGCTTCTCTATGTATACACTATATCTATCAGTCAGTCAGTCAGTCAGTCAGTCAGGCAGTCGGTCAGTCTTCTGTCCGACCGTCCGTCCGTCCGTCCGTCGGTCGGTCTGTCTGTCTGTCTGTCTGTCTGTCTGACTGTCTGTCAGATACCATGTCACGTATACATACATATATATATATACTTATAATTGTAATACAAATAAGTATATATATATATATGTTTACATGATATGATATTATACATGTTATATACACATATGGATACGCATACGTAGCTAATTTGGCTTTGTTTGGTCTACGAGTAGTCGAGGTATCGGTATACTTGCGAATTGGACTCCTTTCTAGTTTGTTCATGCTAAATCTGTGCATTGGGTGATGTCGTACAAGTGACTGTTTGATGGCTCTCGAAGATCAACGGCGTATGTAGGGGCTGCTAGGGTTTAATATAGGAACCTTAATAATTAGAATAGGGCTTGGGGGCCCTTTATACTATAATGAAAATAAGGAACCCCCAAAATAGTATTGGTAATATTTAGGGGTTCCTTATCATAATTATAGTACAATATACCCTCAAACCCTATTCCAACCATTAAGGAACCCCTAAAAAAACCCTTGTAGTAACCCTTCAAAGGAGCCCTATTCTAATTATTAGGCCCGTACATTAAACCCTAAACCCTAAATCCTCAACCCTAAACCCTGAACCCTATTCTAATTATTTAGGCTCCTATATTAACTGTGGCTCATAGCGTTTAGGGTCGGGGTCTCTGGGCTATTTTTCGGCTGCCAGGGCCCGAACCCAGAAATCGTAGAAGCCCAAAGGTTTGAGGTGGGTGGCGAGTTATGCAACACCCCAGAGAACTGACTGGCGAATGCGTGAAGACGAAAACCACTTGATTTCGATAACATGACCAACAGTAGACAAGACTAAAAATACAAACATCAATCTACACGAAACCTACAGATCACGCCAGGTGATGTGAAACTCTGGTTGCCAAAGTGCTTCCAAAGAAGCATCGTTTTCAAGCTCGGTTCGCAACCACGCGATCAGGTAGTAGCTGAAGAAGCCCGTGATTAGCCGCCAATGACCGCCTCTCCCATAAGGCTCCAATTGGATCAGCACGGGGCTGTGGCGATCAACACCACTCTGCATCCTGCGCATATGATGACTGATGAACCTGGAGGTCTTGGAGGGCCCTCAAGTGGTTGGAACCTGGAGGTCTGAGCACAAAGGACAAGGAGCTCGCCCTCTACCTCACTCCCTTCTGGACGAACCAGGCATTGAAAATGAACTTCCTCAAAGTCCATCAGCAGAAGGCGCCCCGTATGCAGGAGCCTGCGCAGCAGGTTATCCCCTTTGTCCTGTTCTGTCAGGGCAGCACGAGAGTTGATGGCTTCCTGCACCAGGAAGGACGGCTCAGCACGCGGGCACGCAAGAAAGGCACTCCTAGGTCGGCCTTGGCATCATCCGCCACCACGAAGCTGTCGTCCAACATGTCCTGACGATACGACTACTAGGCACCGGCTTGAACACTATAAGGTGTCTGGGAAGGACTCCTTGTCGTGCCGCAGCAGGGAACGGGGTAACTCGAGACAAATCTCGCGTAGAGGACGGCTGCGGGGAACAAACACATGCCTCTCCCGAGCTTTTATGCATAATGTTCGTGAGGCCTGCGACTCGCTCTTCAGGGTGATGGCAGGCCGAACTGGCGCTTTGGACAATGGACGGAGCAGCATCCGAGCTTTACCCTTTTTGCATGTCCGCTGCGCTCTGCAGTCGGCTGTCTTCACGGCAGGCGGCTGCTTCAAGCCTGATCTCCAAGGCGAGCGGTCCCGCAGCTTCAGAACTGACACCCCTCGTGCCTCCTCGAACAGCTCATGCTCCCAGGCCCAGTTTTCGTCCGACTTGTACCACCAGGTGGACCACCGGTCTCGGGCGTCTTTCCACTGGTAGCCTGCCAGATACAGCAGCCGCTCCACGAAAGCAGGCCCGCCCACCCGGGCATGTCCTTCCCATCCTCTTCCGCGCAGGAGTTCACGACGGGCTTCGTCATCGTCACAAGCCTCGAAAGCTTCTCAACAGGGGCAACGCGTACAGTGGATTCCGGGCACCGGCCTTCAGCGCCTTTTTGATGCTGTCCATGAGGGAAGGCGGCGCAAGGGGCCAGGTGTGCTTGCGCTCTGAGTGGCGCCGCCTGCGAGGTCGAATTAGGACTGGAAAACTACACTCAAGCGCTCCTGCGTGCGCCTGCTGAGCACCCTTCTAGCACAAGGTCGGCCTGCGAAGTGCTTCCGCGAACCAAGCCCAGGCTGCTAAGATGCTACCCATGGGTGCCGGACACAGCAGGGCATTGTAAGGTTTTGGGCCAGGGTTTAAGGTTTTGGGTATAGGGTTTAAGGTCTTGGGTATAGAGCCCAAACCCTAAGACTCCCAAGCGTGACACTCACTAGCATGTTCAACCCGAAACCGAAACTCAAGAATATTTGATGGGGTCAGCGGTCCGATAGCCGTTGGCCACCTGATCGTACCCTGAAGGTTCAAGCATGTACCTAAACCCTAAACCCTAAACCCTAAACCCTAGACCTTTGAACCCCGTAGCCCATTTCTCGACACCCTAGAGCCCCTAAACCCTAAACCCAAGGGCCCATGTACCCAAAAAAGTATATATTTTAGGGTTTAGGGTAAAAGTTGGAAACCGACAAGACTCAATCCTTGAGAGTAATGTATAGGGAATCCCGGCGCTATTCGTCCGTTGTCCGGTTTAACCAACCTTTGTGGGTTTACCATAAACACTAAACTCCAAACCCTAAAACCCTAAACCCTAAAACCCTAAACCGTGAAACCCTAAACCCTAAAACCCTAAACCGTGAAACCCTAACCCTAAAACCCTAACCCTTAACTCTGATAAGCCCTTCCGCAGCCTGGCTCAAGATCGTGCCCCACGAGCTACCCAGGAGATGGAACTGCTTCCAGCCTAGGAAATCGACCAGGGCGCCAAGCTCCTGGAGAAGTTCAAGGTTCAGGGTTCAGGGTTTAATGTAGGGGGCCTTAAAGATTAGAATGGGTTTGGGTCCTTTACAGTAAGAAGGTGTTGGTACTTACTTAAGCCTCTACATTCTGGTTTGGAGGGATTCACAAGGGTCTATGTAGGGTTGAAGGTTTCCGGAGCGGGGTCTTGGGCCACACGTCTACGGATCTGTTTATCATATGATCCCCGAAGTCCTAGCCTAGCCTACGTGGACCCGTCGGAGTTTGTAGCTTTGAAGGAAAAGTCTGGTCTGAGCTTGGGACACCTGGTTTATGAGATTACTGCCCTGCTTGATTATGAGCGCAACGAATCCGGGACCCAGGCGCTGAATTTTCTGGGATTAGGGCTTCAGGGTTTAGGGTTTAGGTTTGACCCCATCAACGCCTCGACAACATCCTACAACGCCGATACTCATCGAAACTCCCCCTCCCTATCTGAACCCCATCAACCCTCAACCCTCCAGCGCCTCCACGTAGTAGTCCACGGTAAGTAGCCATGGCGCTTTTTTCAGGTCGGGCTGCGAGGAGGCACCTGCACCAACCTCAGTCGGGAATCGAGCGTTGCTGGTAGTCGTGGGGGTATACAGAGACGTCTTCCCAAAAGGGCCTCTCTTTCGGGTTCCTTCAAGGGTGCTACGAGGCTATTATACGACTTCTTCTTTTGCCTGCATAAGTCGACAGGGGTTTCGGGGGGTCGGATCGAAGGGGTTTGCGGATTGTGGTTTGAAAGGTCTAGAGGAGGTTCAGCGGTCCCGAGACCTTACACCACCGAAACATCTACACCCCCTTTTAACTTTCAACCCTACACCGTCAAAACATCTAAAACTCCTTAAGACCCTACACCCCCGAAAAGGGCTTATAGTCAACACCGGAAAGTTGGAACATGGGCTTGGGATGGTTAGTGCTAGGATATAGGGTTTAGGGGTTTAGGGTTTTGGGGCTTCGGGTTTAGGGTTTAAGTTTAAGTTTTTGAAGCTCGAATGATGGGGCCTGTATCACAGTTGCAATGGGGTTTTGCAGCGTATTATACCACAAAGATAGTCTGAAACTCTAAACCCTAAACCCCTAAACCCTCTTGGGTCCCTAATCTTCAGTGTGACATCAGCCAAGGAAGCCAGGAACTGCACGGGGAAGTGCATTGCAGCTTGCAGTTAAGCACGTTAAGCCCTAAGCCCCTAACCTAAACCCTACAACCCCTGTAGTAGGGGGTTCAGGGTTTAGGGCTTAGGGTTTATTGGGGTTTAGGGTTTAGTGTTTCGGGTTAAACACATTAAACCGCCGGCACACCCACTTCAACCGGCTGAAACCAGAATTCCTAAGCCCCAAAACCCGAAAGCCTCAAAATTGGGGTTTAGGGTTTCGGGTTTTTTGGGTTTAGGGCTTAGGCGGCTTAGGGTTTGAACCCTAAACCCTAAACCCTAAACCCTAAAGGCCTAAACCCTAAACTGTGGACCTGGTCGTAGAAGACAACCTCTCTTCCGCGGCAGGCCTGCCAAGAGACGAGCTGGCATAGAGTTCCAAGGGTTCCCCCTACACCCTAAACCCTAAAACCTTAAACCCTAAACCCTAAAACCCTACAGCCCTAAATCCTAAAACCCTAAAGCCCTAAACTTGCTTCCTTAAGGGCCTCGGTGGGGTCTCTTATACTGTCATGACAGGTGGGGGGGGGGCTTTTGGGGTTCAGAGCTTCTGGACGAGGTGGCCGGGTTGTCAGGGCTTTAGGGTTGAAGGCAACAGAAGCCACAGGTGTGGGGTTTAGGGTTCTGTAAACCTACCTAGCTATGGGCAAGTCTGACAAAGCAGGGTGACAATGTAGGGGCCTTAATAATTAGAATGAGGGGATGCGCGCGGGATGCAGTTTCAAAGCCCTAAACCCGGAACCCTTGAAGACCCCTAATAGGGTTTTTTCGCCGCTTTAGAGTAGACTTATAGTAAGGAGCCCTAAGGAATAATAATGGCAATTATTGAAGCTGCTATAATGTACCCCGACCACCCAAGCTCCTGGATGTTGATCGATCGAAAAGCTTGAGCACACACTGAGAGGTGGTGTAGACCCCTTATCATGCATACACCCTTTGTTGGAGGACAGTTGGATTCGTATGTCGTCCTTATTTCTCCATGGCTCACTCATCAAGGGTACATTAGGCATGACGAGAATGCACGAAGTTGCACTACCTACTCCGCTTTGTCTTCCCCCTTTTCTAAGACTGTAGTCCACATGCTCTGGAAGGTGCGGCGGGGTGTGGGATTCCAGGGTTGACTTCCGAAAACCTACCTAGCAAGAAACCCTCTCATAGACCTCCACAGTCCACAGAAGAACAAGCAATGCGAACCCCCAAAAACTCGAAAGCCCAAGCCCTCAAAACCGAAATCCTAAAGCCCTAAAGCCAGAAGCTGAACTCCCCAACCAAAACCCCCTCATAAACCCCAGTAGCCTTCAGCCCTAAACCCTAAACCCTAAGCCCTAAACCCTTAACCTTAAGCCCTAAACCCTTAACCTTAAGCCCTAAACCCTTAACCTTAAGCCCTAAACCCTAAACCCTAAGCCCTAAACCCTAAACCTTA